GCAACAGATCTTATATATTTTTTCTTATTTAAAACCACATTCATGAAGGTTTTATTGTTAACTTGATCCAGATGACTGATCAAAGCATAGTTTGTTATTGCCACCTTGCTAAAATATTTTAAAGGCAGTTTTAATATTACACTTTTATAGCTACATATTGCCATTAAGCTATTGAGTCTATTACTAGTCAATCAAGGATTTTCATTTTGTTTCAAGGGCTCCTTGGATAAACTCTTCAGAAATGTCAAGAGAGATGGAATATATGGCACCTTTTCACAGATGGTGTTCATCAGGATTTTCGTTAATGGAGAAAGTTTCAGTTTTCCATGGTTGGCTTTGGTGCTAACAAAAGTGTTCTAGCGGCCCCTGCTCTTTCAAAAGCTAGGGTATAGTAAGGAAATGAACCCCATAACACTTCCAAACCCTTCATTATTAATGAGGCAAGAAACTGGGGACATCATGGAGTATCTCACTGGATCCATTTTACTAAAGAATGGAATATTTCTTGAAAAAGAACATTTATCTTGCTCTCCCCATGTCTAAGAACAACAACAACCAAAAACAAATATACAACAGGGAAAGTTAAACTATTACATGGGGGGTTACATAGTCAACTGGCCCATCATAGACCCTAATTGTGTATTTTTTCTTTCATTTGTTCCAAAGCAGTCTATGCCCTTTCCATTCATCTCTTCATTCATTCCTACATATATTCAACACACACTTATTACTACTAATACACCTGACTCTGGGTTAGGTGTTGAGTACGACAGTAATTTGGCGTAGTGTTTGCCTCGAGAGATTTTCAACCTAGTGGTAGAGGAAGCCAAGAAAGCACATGATTATTTACCATTCATTGAGGTAAGTGCTGTGATGAGTGAGAGGTTGAAGGAGGGCACAGGATTCTGGGAGGGCAGTAGATGAGCACTCACCCCCTTTTGAGGCAGGCTTGGGGAAGGCATTGCTGGAAGTGATGGTGTCGAAGCTAAGAGCAGAAGAACTGAAGGGTATAATTCAGGTGAAGGTAGAGGATGACAACATGACAGAACAGAGACCACATGTCCCAGGGCCTGGGAGAAGGGATGAGTGGTGGGGCTGGGAAGTGAACGGCAGTCACCCCCCAAGAGCCTTGTAAGCTGCAGAGGAGCTGGGCTCTTTTCCTGAGGCCGTGGGAGCCTGTGAGGAGCTTGAAGCCAGCGAGTCAGTGGGTCTGAGGTCACTCTGGCTCCAGATTGTGCTCGATGGAAAGCAAGAGTCCAGCAGGAAAACTGTTAGGATCCTATTGCCCTGGAGAAATAAGGTGGCGCCTGGAAGAAAAGGGAAGTAGAAAATGAAATCTGATTAGATTGGTTTCAGCAGCCATGACATAATATCGTAAAACCAATAAACACGGTTAGCCAAAAGCAAAAGTGTCAGGTCAGCCATTTGGTAGACACTGGAAAGGAAATAAAAACGGGCTTCAGTAGATTGCTAAGTGAGTCCATGAGTTCCCAAGTGCAGAGCAGGGGGAAGCTACCCTCTCCAACTTTATATTAGTTTTCCTGGGAATGCAATTGTGACTGCCCAGATTTACTGTGTAAGGCTTTCTGGTAGGCACCTCGTGTTAGCTGATGGTTACAGGGATATGAACCATTATGCATGGAATCACCCAGTAAACATGTCTGAAGTTATTTGAATGAATAATATCCTTGGTCCAAAGCTTGCTACTCTTTTCTTCAGTTTTTCCCCTCCCCCCTCCCCCCATCAGCCTTTAGGGAGTCTTATTCATGGCTTCCTATCCTTCCCGACCATTCTGGTGTGTTAGGAAACAAGTACAGTTGGATAGTAATGAAGATAGGGAGTGTAGATTTAAAAAATTAAAGGAGCTTCATTTCTAATCTGACAATTAAGCAAGAGGATTGGTCAAACTTTGTTACAGAAGAAAAACTAGCAACCAGCCTGTAAGAAATCGCTCACAGTTTAGGGGATATGTTACAAGCAAGATAAATAAAAGTAGTCTAGAGTATCAGGCCAAACTCTCATTTTTCATCTCCGTTTCACACTCTTCTCTTTCAGCCCAGACTAATCAAAAGAAGCCTCTTCCGCTCACAATTGCTCTGTGTACATTTCCCCCAGATCTGGTATTCACATGAACAATGTGGTTTATTTATATTTCAGCACCAAATTGGAAAGATGACATCATTCATTTACAGTCTTTATCCCATGACATGCCTACTCTCCAACACCTCATTTCAGCAGACACATTTAGGGCTGCATATAGCATCTTGTTTAGCTTGTACATTCTTTTATGGGATACAGTTCAAAGGTAGGGAACTTTAGGCTTGTCACTGGTAAGAAAATAATCTCATAAAATCACAGGAGCTTCCCCAAAGGATAAGAACATTATGATATTTACAATAGCCATTATTATTTGTTCATTTAGGCTCCATCGTTCATTCTTGGGGCAAGTCCCTTCCTTATTGGCCAGAGCAGATCTTATAGCTCCCTTTAGGCCCCAGAATTCTATTGGAAGACACAATTCCAGATTTATTAGTTCACAAGTTCAAAAGTCACAGGCTCCTGACAATACTGGAATTTTAGGTGTGAACGCTGAATTTCAGCATCTCCTGTACCAGGGTTGGCCAAATAAGGGAGATCTGGGAGAGCTCAGGACTTAGTTGGCAACTGAACTTCTACTAGTATTTCTCACAAGACGTGCCTTGTCCATTGGGTCTTCTGATACTGTCAGTGGGTGAGTGAAGGACAGACATGCTATCAGCTGCCAAAGGTTGCCTGGGATTTCCAATTTAATTGTTAGGTGGATCTTTCCCTCTAATTTTATTAATTTCATCCATATAATGCATTTTTTACATCTACTCTGGGGCCATTCAAATATTGTACACATTTTAAAAAAACGGAATGCGTGAATCATGAGACATTCTTTGGCAGGTAGAACTGGGATGTGAGGTGTTTCCAAGACTTAACAGAATCGAAACAATTATGGGAAGCGGTTTCTACCTGTTCAGCTGTTTGCCATTTTTGCTAACAGCGGGGCAAGGGGAAAAGCCTAACGATTCAGAATTGGAGGGCCCAGAAAACCTCCAAGCCCTATGTCAAGAAAGAGGCTCTGGGGGCTGAAATCGATGGCTTGATTTTCTAGCTACAGAGGAAGAGAGTAATAATATGTCCCAGGAAAGTTTTGAGGGTAAGTTAGATTGTGGGTGGAAAAAACTACAAGAATACACTGTGTGAGGTCCAGAATTATTATCAGAGCATTATTTATATCACATAATAAAATTCCCACTAGTTGGCAGTTCTGCCAACCTCTGACGTCCAGCTCTCTTAACGTGCTGATGGCTGGTCGTCATCTCAAGCTACCAGTGAGATTGTTAGGTGATTCATGAGAGAGCCTCCCCTCTCAGTGACCTCCTCTGGCTGAAACAAGGGTGCAGCTTGCCTCTAGAGTGGCAGCATCCCTCAGAGTCATGGCCCCCTTCTTTCCTTCAGCCAGGCATTACAGCAACAGGCATAGAATATCTACACTGTGTAGACCCTGGGCTGGATTCTGGGGAGAGGCAGACGAGAGAAATATCCCCGAATCTACCAACAGATGGATAGATAAGTCTGCGGGTACAGAGTGGTGGTAAGTAGGAGGCACACATCACCTGGCCTCAAGGTTGGGTCCAGGAAAAGGCTGTGAGTTAGCCAGACACACAAGTTAGAGGTGAGGGAAGATGTCTGTGGGAGGTGTCTCAGGCAAAGGAAACACGGATCAAGAAGGAGAAGTGGTGCCCTGGCCAATGTGGCTCAGTTGCTTGGGCGTCATCCTATACACCTAATGGTTGCTGGTTCGATTCCCAGTCAGGGCACATGCCGGGGTTATGGGCTCCATCCCCAGTGGAAACAGGCAGGAGGCAGCTAGTGGTTGTTTCTCTCTTTCTCTCCCTCTCCCTTCCTCTCTCTCTGTAAAGAGAAATAAAAAATATTTTTTTAAAAAAGAAGTGCCTTACAGTAAACAACAACAACAATGATAATAACGGCATTTGCCTTTTTCGCAAGTCCCGATTGTGCCAGGTTCATCATAGAGAGGGCAGCACTCTCCCTCCCATTTCAGAGTTGAGGAAATTGAGTCTTAGAATTAGTTAACTCAAATAAACCAGCAGAGAAGTGCAGCAGGACTTGAACCCAGTTAGTCTTATCTCTAAACCCACCTTTGTAAGCTTTCTGGATTGGATATTTTTATCTGCCTTTTAGGCATTTTTCTAGATTCTGTGACCCTGTTAGGTCAATTCATCCCCGGTATGTTATTGCCCTGCATAGTGAAACAAGACAATAAAACAATCCTGTGGCCCTGGGGGTTTCACTGTGACACCTGGGGCTTGACTCCTGTGCCAATGATAGTGGGGAGTAAATTGCAGTGGTCAGTTCTTCTCCGTCAACTGTGGTCCTTTTGCCCAGTTTCCCCCCGCCTCACAGAGTGCTCTTTTTCGCCAGAAGTCGTCATAGCAGCAAACCATCTCCGTTAGTGTTTTTGCGTTTGGCAGCTCTTGAGTGGATTTCCTGCCTTGTCTCTCAAGACCATTGTTTGTCTGTGGCTCCGTGTCTCCACCCGGTCCTCTCCCATCTTTTCATGCAGGACTTCCTTGTCTTGCTTGCTCTAGAGCGTAGGATGTGATTGTTGGCAGTCTGTGGTGGCAAGCTTACTCTGGGTCTCTGTGATCGCTTGACAACGTAAAACAAAGCACCTTTGGACGAGTTCATCCTTTCCCCCTTTAAACCATGTGGGGAAGTGCAGTTACATCTACAAATGCTGATCCTAGGACCAGGCAGCATCAAGGGTGTGGCAAAGCCTCTTTCACCAAAGCGTGATGCATTCCTTTTTAAGTCCCAATGTGCCTGCAAATGAAAACTTGTGGATTAGGAGCAAAGGGAACCCTCTAGGTGCTATAATAATGCCCGGGGTGTCTTTGGCTGGGCTTCTCACTCCTGACAGAGTCTTCCCTGGCTTTTGCTCTGCACAGACCCAGAACAGGATGAAGCTGATGGCGGACAACTACGATGAGGATCACCACTACCACCACCACCACCACCACCACCACCACCACCGGTCTCCTGGGAGGTCGCAGCATTCTAATCACAGGCCCTCTCCCGACCAGGTCAGTTCCCTTGCATTTACCTCCAGGACCCCTTCTCCCCTTTGGATATTTTAAGATAAAATAAATCATCCTCGAGAAATAATAAACAGCATAAAGTGATACGTTCTTTGAACTGAAACTAATAGCTTTGGTATTTATTTCCATCACTCAAGGAATCTAAATGTTTTCCTTTCTCCTTCCTCCTCAAGGTTTTGTCTGTTCTTGTTTATGTTATGCATTTTCTTGCCTGCCCTCCTTTCTTCTTTCATAGACATGCAGCCTATTGCCAGCTTCGTATCTACTGGTGGTTACTTCGGAATGTCTTTTTCAGTTTTAAGAGAAAGCACTTTGTTTCCATGAGCTCGGCAACCAAAAAGGCCTTGAGTTTGCTGAGCAGTTTCCTAGAAAATTCCTTAGTGATGCAAAGTAGCAGTGGGGTGAAATGACATGAAGAGAAATCTGTGTTGCTTGCACTTCAACCAGTGATGTCACAGGGTCTGGTTTCTCTGACTTGGACCCCATCTTCTCCCTTGACTCAGTAAAGCTAGTGAAAAGATGGATTGACAAATACAAGAATCTCCTGTGATTTTTAAACTATTTTACATTCACCCACCAAATGCAAAAACCATTTACAGCATTTAGAATTAAAATTCTTGAAGGTGAGTTTCATGGAAATGATTAAATTTGGTGCAGGATGATAGAGTCAATATTAGCAGTATTTCTGCCTTGATTGTATTAGGACCTTCCCTTTATGATCCTGGTATAACTTAGATGGTAATTTCAAGAGGGATGGAGGCAGAGGTAATGGAATAGAAGCATCTCAACAAGTGTGTATGCCTTTGTTATGTATTTTTGAATATGTGAGGGATGGACTTGTTGGAATGACCTGTACGAGGAGGGTTTTAATTGTTTGTTGGAGGAAAGGATGCTTAATATGCTCCCAAAGCTTTGTGGGGGATTTTCAGATGGCTCTGTTTTATTCTCACTTCATACCACTCGCATCCCAAAAGAGAAGTTAAGATTACAAGTGTCCAAGATATTTTACCAGGAGCACAACTCCAGGGGGAGCCATTTGTATAGTTTACAACATATAAAGGGCTCCCTAGGGCTTGTAGTGAGGTAGCTCCATCAGGGAGGTCCCCTAACCCCAATCCAAGGTTGGCCCCACCCTTGTACTGGGAACCATTTGCCCTCAGACACCTCGAGGTTTTGTCTGTTCTTGTTTATGTTATGCATGTTCTTTCCTCCCTTCTTTCTTCTTTCATAGATACGCAACCTATTGCTGGCTCAGTGTCTGCTGGTGGGTTACTTCGGAATGTCTTTTTCAGAACACCTGCAGAAGGTGTTCACACACAGGGCTTGTCAGTTTCTGAGGCCAAGTACAGAAAGGCGCCAGTGAATGTCATTAGCTAGAAATGGTTCTCAATTCGGAGATCAGCAAAGTGGAAAGGGATATTATTTTTCTGTCATTATCTTGTGTGACTGTGGTTTTAGTTTGATTTGGTTTTATTTATTCATTTCCCATCCCTCACAACCACCACCACCCTCACTTGCCCCAGTATAACTGGCATCCTGCTAACCACGTCTCTTCATTCTCATTCCTGGTCTCTACACTTTGCTCCTCAACCTTCCCCCATGAAGGGTGAGTGTGAGGTTTTATTGGTGTGAAAAGGCCACCCCCCACCTTACCCCCACCCCCGCCCAGAGAGACAGGAATAGAAAGCACCATAGAGGCATAAAGAAGAATTTAGAGCCAAACTGGGGGAGTTGATTGCACAAGGACCTGGTGGGATAGCAAACAGGCTTGTTTCATCACGGAGACATGTATGCTAACATGTCCTGCTACCAGCAGGGCACCAGATCAAATTTATCTGTCTTGAGAATGCTTTTTCTTACAAAAGTTATCTCTTGCTACTTTTCCAGAGGTCTTTAATCAGAAACTAGAGCACTTGTCTGCTTGGTTGACCCTTTTATGTTTGTCCATTGACACGAGCGGTTGTCATAGGGCAGAATCATGGCTCGGGGTTGGGGGCCCTTTCCAGAAGAGCTAGCATTCCTTGAGGAGTGTGGCTAAGGTACGTCATCAGGACCTCGGACACACCTTTCTCGTTGCTACTGTTAGGAAGATGAGTCAGCAAAGCAGTAGGCTCCTTTGTTGCACATTTTCAGTTAGAAGAGGAGAGCTAAGCAAGGACCTGGTATGAGAAGGCTGACCCCAGTGACAATGATGTCCTTTTTGACGAGCTGTCTGAGGTCTAGGGAAATGATGCTCTCTCTATACTGAAGATTTGAGAATCATAATCATCAAAAACTCTTATATCAATATATGCATTGTTATAAATCCAAGTACCAGAGAGTAGCAGACTTAAAGGGCTGGGAAGCCTGTCCCAATTGATTGTGAACTCTACACATAATTGTGTAAGCATATATGCTAATATGCGTGAAATGGAGTTACTTCTCCAGAGAATGTGACAGACTTCTATCAGTGTGTGACAACACTAGAGTCTAAATCATGGATGATATGAATGAGATTTGAACTAAATGTCCATAATGGACCCATGTTCACTGAACTGACTTAACAGGAAGGTATCGCTTCCAGGATTCCCAATTCCCTTCCCATCAATCTTGTAGCCCCGACTTTCCTGTGCCCGAAGGTTGACCATCACTGTCTTCGGGAAGAGGGCCTGCCAATGTTGACATTGTCTTCTGAGGTTTATTAAGGGATCAGAACATGAAAATGAAGAAATATAAAAAGTCAGTCACTTTGCTACTTTTCCAGAGAAATTCATTTTTCCTTAGGAAATTCAATTTAAGTATTGCCAGGCTTGCAAAATTAGATTCTTTTTCCATTTCTTCCCAGTCCCTCTCTCCTTCACTATGGTTTTGCTTTCTCCTTGGGAGAAACTGAATCCAAGGGTTATAAGTCTAGACTAGCATTTCCCAAAGTAACTTTGGAACATTAGTCCCATGAGGAAAGTCTTGAAACAGAGATTCAGTGGGCAGAGAATTCCGGGAAAGTGCTGCATATTATAACTCAATCTTGGAGAATCTTGGTGCAATTAGCAGATCAAAGGATCGAAAAAGTCATATAAGAAAGAAAGCTCTCCAATTTTATTTAATCCAGCATTTCCCAGATTTATTTGATCGTAGAATCTTTGTTTTTTCTTTCCTAATAACATCTGTGCTCTGAGAAATACTGTTCTCAGAGTATCAGGTGAAGAAGGAGACGATCCAGTTTAAAACATGGCTGATCTAGTTTCCAGCAGTATTTTTCATCTTAAGGTGAAAGCAATTTCCCCTATGCTTGGCATAGCAGAAAATGAGAGTGCCCCTTTCATTTATTTCCTGGGATGCCTTTTTCAAAGGTATAACACCCGAGAATGGGTTATCCCACCCAAAGCCCAATAGGTCTGAACTAAAGAAGCCATTCTAAGGATGAGGGCCCAGGAAAGCATGTATAATAATAAACACACAGGCCCTCAGGGATGTGAAATGAGTGTGATGAGGGGAAGGAGGGTTGGAGTACATGTAAGAGGAATCAGGGGGCTGTGGCAGTCCAGCAGCCGAGAAAGGAGCAGGTAGCCATCAGTGTGCCCTGTGACCCCCAGGATGGCCATAGTCATTGAATATGTCCAAGTGGAACATTCACACAATCCCAGTAATGCCTCAGGAAATCCTTCCAACCAGGAAGTGAGCACAAGGGCAGACAACAAATATTTCCTGTGACAAGCTGCTGGGGAGCTTTGAGGAACAGTAAGGACCAGGCTGGGGACACGTTAGTGATTTCATTTTTAGTGAAGGTGCCAAGACTGACTTTAGAAAAGCTAAGTGGAAACTCAACTTCTCAGTGCCCTGTGTACCTGTCGCCATCAGTATCACCTGTTATTTTCTGTAGTATCTTTCCTTGCCTTTATCTATGATGCCAAGTCCTTTTTCCAGGCATCATATGATTTTCATTTTTCCAAAAAAAAAGTCATATTTTGTTAATTTCCTTCCAGTGGCTCCCAGGTATGAGCTAACCCAGCTGTGAGCAAACTACGGCCCGCGGCCTGTAACCGGCCCATTTGAAATGAATAAAACTAAAAAAAAAAAGACGGTACCCTTTTATGTAATGATGTTTACTTTGAATTTATATTAGTTCACACAAACCCTCCATCCATGCTTTTGTTCCGGTCCTCCGGTCCAGTTTAAGAACCCATTGTGGCCCTCAAGTCAAAAAGTTTGCCCACCCCTGAAACCTGTAGATTTAAAAAAACATACCCTCAGAGTGAACCCACATTCCAGCCAACGCACAATGCCGGGTCTCGTTCAGCCGCCCTTTGAGTCCAGGACTTTGCATTTCTGTGCTTGGGTTTTGGGTTGGAGATTGTGCCTTTAAGGTCCTGGATCTCAGTGTCACTTCCACTTGCTAAAGCATCTGCCACTCTGACTCTAATGTGTAGAGCCCCCAAATGGCAAAGAGCCTAAACATTTGGGGCTGGGAACCCCACAGCGTGTGGCCACTGACAAGCCCAGAACTCACCTCTCCTCTCTCCTTCCTTGGAATGAAATGCTCCCTGAGGGGAGTTGGGGAGCTCAAGGCATGGTCACTACCGGGAGATTTTTGGACCCCATTTGAAAGTGACATTTCACATTTTACTTCTAGAAATCCTACTTCTAAGGAAGAGCTAACGTCAGGGAGCATGAAGGCATAGTATTTTTTTAATTGATAATTGATATGTTATTCATACTCTTTTTTTCATATGGCAAAGCACAGTCACACCTGCCCGGCATGTAGTATCACGTCAGTGCCTGCTGAGTGCATTGTTTCCTCAGCACCTCTGGGAACTAGGAAGGGCAGAGGGAAGTATCTCCAGGGTAAAGAAAAGAATTTCCAGATAAAAAACAACCAAACCAAACCAAACCCTGGAGCTCAGAGAGGTTGTTTGTTATCCAGGGTCACACCCTGAAAATCAACAGGCCCAAAATGAGGACCTGAGTGCCTGGGCTCCGTACACGGGTGCAGCCTCTCTGGATGTTAG